CAGCGAAGCTGCGAGAGGAAAAGAAGCGACTGCTGCAACAACGCTGGATTGTAAATTATAAACATGTTGCTTACATAACATTATTGGTAGAGACAAATAGGATGGTTCAAAATTTTGGTAGGGACATGTCCCTGTGGTCCCTATGCAAACCTACACCCATGCTCTGTGCCGTCATGATGCAATGATTGTACAAAAAAATATCCACATATTTTAAAGACTGAAATGAGGTAAATATTTAAATTAAAATGTTCCTGATTATAATTAAATGCAGTTCCAAATAATATGGGGTTTTAATGTCAAATTTCAGACTTTAATAGAGGCTTATTTCTGGATGACTGATTTCTATCCTGTTGACAGATTATTCCACTTGAGCTGATCTCTGCAGCTCCTCCAGAGTGAAGCTAAGAGGCACTGTGAATTCTTTGTGGGTTTGCAGCAGCAATTTCAGTCATCCCTATGGTAGCATAAGCTGGCTCAGGAGGTGGGATTTGTCTGATGTTAGAGGTCAGATAGTGCTATGTTGAAGTTTACCACCAACATGCATCAATCCATCTGTTCCTTGATCTTCTTGTCAGGTTATATCAAGAATGTTGTACAACAAACCTCAAAGGCCTTCAGGCAACAGGTATCTAGACATTAGGTTATCTCTGAAAGCAGCCAGTTGCACTGGGCATATTTCTCCATAATAAAGATTTTATGTTATGATGATCCATCGCATGAAATCCAAACTAAAATATTAGAAGGGAACATAAATACCTGCACACTCATGGAAAAGTCAACACCAGGTTCTATAACTCAAATGGTGACAGCAACAGGCATGTATCAAAAATGTAAACGCAGCAAAATCTTTACTAAAAACAATCTGGCTCGACACTGAAGTCTTCCCAAAAAATGTGTCGCAAAAAATTGTAGACAGTTGTATCAACAGTCTTACAGTATAGTTTGGAGATTTGAATATAGATCTACTTAACTCAATTAACCATTAAAAACCTACTGAAGAGTTCATTAATAACGTACTTTAACTGTAATATTCAATTACCTTCCACTGCACTTCAATTTAGATAGCTTCTGTCCAAACTTTATTCATTTTATAGTAAAACCCATCTGTATATATGCTATTATACATAACTGTAAAAACCCTTTTTATAGTAATATCCACCTGTATATTATATTGGGTACATATCCAGCTGTAAATTTAGTTCACACTAGCTATCTATATATTATATTCATTATTTACAATGGAATTCATCTCTATAGTCATTCAGTAGAAACCCATGTCCTGTATTTATAGAACAATTATTTATCCTGCACTTGCTGCTATTGCACTTCTGGTTACACCTAAACTGCATTTCATTGCCTTGTACCTGTACCTGTGTAATGACAATAAAGTTGGATCTAATCTAATCTAATCTAATTAATACCATGTACAGTTTGAGCCTTTTCCCCAAATCACTAGACCAGCAGGATCCCACTTAACAGTGCCACTTTCATAGATAATATATTTACTATGTTAGATAGCAACACGTTAAGTGGATTAATAGTTCAGCATATTAGTGAGCATCTTCCAGTCTTTGTTTTAGTGACAATTTCTATATATAAAATAAGGATAAAGTAATCCACAGTTTAAAAGAGTAAGAACAGAGGAATCACTCAAATCTTTCAAAGAGGATTTATTGAAACATAACTGGGAGTCTGTTATGATGATGATGATACAGCATATGATAATTTTCTGGATATCTTTACATTATTATATGATAAAAACTGTCCATTAATAATATTCTCTCATAAAACTAATACTTAAAAGCTCTATGGATCACAAAGGGTTTGCAAAATGTCTGCAAAGACAAAAAAGAACAAACTATACAGATATTTCATAAGGCATAGATCTTTGCAGGTAGAGAATGAATATTAGAAATATAAGAATAAATGAATTGCTATTCTACAAATAGCTAAACAGGCTTATTACATTAAATTATTAGGTATAAATCAGAAAAATATAACATTATAACATTTAGAGGACATTAATGACGCTGTTTATAATTACAGTAAATATTTTGTCCGTGTTGGACCCTATATGGCAGAAAAAATCCTGGATCATACAACTAAAACTGGAGCTGGGAATGAAACAAGCAGCAGAAATCCTTATTATTGGATATTATTGATAATAAATGTAATAACAAGAGGTCAACTGACTGTGATGGCATTGATATGACAATACTTAAGGAAATTAAGGAAATTCTTCATCCTCTGACTTCCATCTGCAATCTGTCATTTCAGTTGGGTACATTTCCAGAAAATAAGAAAAGTTATTCCACTTTATAAATCTAGGAACAGACACCATTTCATACATTATAGGCCTGTTTCTCTACTTCCAGTTTTCAAAAATTTGGGATAAATAATTTGTTGATAGATTAGATACGTTCATTAATAAACATAAATTGCTTTCCGAAATTCAGTATGGATTTAGATCACAAAGATCTACGGCAATGGCCGTCATTAAAAAAGTCACCAGCACCTTAGATAATAAGAAATCTGCAGTTGGTGTATTTATTGATCTCAAAAAGGCTTTGGACACAATATATAACAAAAAATACTAATTAATAAATTGGAGAGTTATGGCATCTGGGCGTAGTACTACTCTGGATGGAAATTTATGTAAGAAACAGAAAACAATTTGTGCAAATGGCTGACTGCCAGTCATCGTGCTTGGACATTGTTGTGTCCCCCAGGGGTCAGTATTGGGGCCAAAATTATTTATCTTATTTTATATTATTGACATCTGCAAAGTTTCTAGAATACTTAAATTTGTTTTGTTTGCAGACGATACTAACATCTTTTTTACAGGTGATCATTTGGATAATTTTTATGGCAGATAACAACCCATCATTAAATCTGAATAAAACCAAGTTAATGTTTGGAAACAGCAAAAGTGAAACAACTTTACATATCCTGATGGAAAATGTGGGAGTAGAGAGAGTTTCGGAAATTAAGTTCTTGGGATTAATGATAGACACTAAGATTTGCTGGAGACCTCATATAAAAACAGTCAAGCAAAAATATCCAAAACTATAATATTTGTATTAAGATGAAGAGCGAAGCCTTTATCTCTAAATTGTAGTGTCTTGTGCGAAAAAACACATCAGGGGGCTCAGTGAATTTCCTTAATAAAGTTAAAAAACATGAAGTAACATGATCCATAAACTGCTGCCGTCCCTCTGTAGTCTAGTTCAAAACACCTCCTGTAAACATCAGTTGGATTAAAAATGGGAACTACAGAACTAATTCTTTTAGAATAGGTATATATATTAGGCTGAGCATATTTTGATTTCCATAAAGCGGACACTTTGACCATCCTCCAGATGGATTCAGACAGGCAAAGGTTAATGAACAGCTTTATTATGCCTAAATGGTACAAAAATAACCTTTATAGTAAAACAAAATCTTTAACAACCAGTAACAAAATTATACAGTAGCTCTCTATTAAAATACATAAATAAATCAAATAATGTTCTAAATATGACATTTTCTGTATTTTCAAATAGTTTCAACAAATGTTCCCAGTTCTAACAAAATACTCAGTCAACTTTGCAGAATGACTCTCACCTCTCAGAGCTTTTTCAGGTTTTTCAGTGTCCATGTGAGCTTTGAGATCTCCAGCACCTTTATTAGACACTGAAACTAATGAGCCAGCTTTGCTCACGGTGCACTCAGCCTCCCACTGGACAAAACTGTTTCCTGGAGTTCATCTGTGAAGCTGCACTTTTGTTTCGGCATTTTGTAATGATTCTTAATGAATAAAAACATTGGATTTGGGTCCCTTCAGGCTGCATTGTGAACACAGCCATAGTTAGATCCTTCATTCCTCTAGTTGCTTGGTTGTAGCGGCTCTGGACACACACAGTTATAGCAACTGAAACACTTGTTTTATCAGGTGCCGAACCAACTGGGCCAGAATACGTACCTACATTATTCCCTGATCTAAGTTCTCCAACAAGCAAAGGAGGATTTATCCAATGGCCAGATTTGATCTCAGGCTCTAAAAAGCAAAAACCATTAATGCTGATGGAGGAGCAACAGGAAAGACTGGAGAAGACAGAAGGTGAATGCAATTAAACTATTTATTTTAGAGCTTTAGTTCGTATGAAAATATCAGAGAAAACATGGAAACAGATTGTAATTAATATGAAACCATATAAAGAAGCAAATTGTTTCAATCCATTAGGTTTTTATTGCTGCTAGTTCATCAATTTAGAAGTGATTACAATAATTAAAAACATCCACAGCAGAATATAAAACATAAAATCAGTAGCGATAGTTACTTTCAATTATAGCAAGTAAATAGAACATCTACAGAATCAAGAACAAAACTGTAAGAATTTGTTCAAAGGAAAATTCAAAAAATCATTAAAACGCATTCTATAGGTGGCGCAGTGGTTAGTGCACATGACCCATCTATGGAGGCCATAGTCCTTGACGCAGCCGACCTGGGTTCGAAGCCAATGTGTGGTCCTTTGCTGCATGTCTCTACCCTTACTGTCCAAAAAACAGCCATTAGTGCTTTATAAACTAAAAAAAGCATTCTATAATGCCTCTAGCTCAATGCAATTTCTGACATTTTGAATTGAAAGCACTTCCTGGATGGGAAGCAAAACGTCCAGTGGATTGTTTTTTAGCTTTTTGAATCCCCTTTCAAGGTGGTTGGAGCTACTTTGCAACATTAATCAGCCTGACTGGCGCACACTACTATATGTCCCAAATCTTCATCTGAGACTCCTCTATAGATGATCTACTTCATTCTAATATCTATTGACCATAGCTCTAACACTGGGCCAAATAAAGTTGGAGTTTTGGTGGGCCTGGTTTCAACAACACACGTAGCAGCGCCGATTTCTAGTTTCTAGATGGACATTTATCACCAGTCAAACGTGGAAAACGCCTCTACTGTTCATTCCTGTGGTGTCTAACTGCTCTGACCTTTATGAAACAAATGATTTTATAAAAATATAAACCATTCTAAATCCTGCATATCTATAAGCTTCTCATTTAAACCCTTTGTCACAAATCATTCAGCTTCTCACCTGTGTGAATATTCATGTGAGAAGTCAAACTACTCTTGTCAGTAAAATCCTTCTCACAAATGGTACTGGAAAAAGGCTTCTCTCCTGTGTGAATTCTCATGTGTCTATCGAGATGAGTTTTCTGAGTGAAGCTTTTTCTACATGACAGACATTCAAAAGCCTTCTCACCTATGTGAATTCTGATGTGCCTTTCAAGATTAGATTTCTGAGTGAAGCTTTTTCTACAGGACAGACATTCAAAAGGTTTCTCTGCTTTGTGAATTCTCTTGTGAGAAGTCAAATTACTCTGGTCGGTAAAATTCTTGCTACAAATCGTGCAGGAGAAAGGTTTCTCTCCTGTGTGAATTCTCATGTGTCTATCAAGATTAGATTTCTGAGTGAAGCTTTTTCTACAGGACAGACATTCAAAAGGTTTCTCACCTTTGTGAATTCTCGTGTGATAGGTCAAATTACTCTCATCTTTAAATTTCTTGTTACAAAAGGTACAGGAAAAAGATTTAGCAACCGCGTGAATTCTGATGTGTTTAGTCAAACTAGTTTTGTCAGTAAAATTCTTGTTACAAGTGTTGCAGGAAAAAGGGTTCTCTCCTGTGTGAATTCTGATGTGATTATTCAGATCAGACTTGGAGGTGAAGCTTTTTCCACAGGTCGGACATTCAAAATGCTTCTCGTCTGTATGAAGTCTCATGTGTTTATCAAGATTAGATTTCTGAGTGAAGCGTTTTCCACAGGACAGACACTGAAAGGGCTTCTCACCTGTGTGAATTCTGATGTGTTTATCAACACTAGATTTCTGAGTGAAGCATTTTCCACAGGACAGACATAGAAAAGGTTTCTCACCTTTGTGGATTCTCATGTGATAGGTAAAATAACTCTTGTCTTTAAAATTCTTGTTACAAATGGTACAGGAAAAAGATTTCTCACCTGTGTGAATTCGCATGTGTTTAGTCAAATTACTCTTGTCATTAAAATTCTTGTTACAAAAGGTACAGGAAAAAGGCTTCTCACCATTGTGAATTCTCACGTGTTTAGTCAAACCACTCCTGTCATTGAAGTTCTTGTTACAAATGGTACAGGAAAAAGGCTTCTCACCTGTGTGAATTCTGATGTGATTATTAAGATCAGACTTAAAGTAGAAGCTTTTTCCACAGGACATACATTCAAAGGGTTTCTCACCTGTGTGAATTCTGACGTGTTTATCAAGATTAGATTTCTGAATGAAGCGTTTTCCGCAGGACAGACATTTAAAGGGCTTCTCCCCTGTGTGAATTCTGATGTGTTTGTCAAGATTAGATTTCTGTGTGAAGCTTTTTCGACAGTACAGACATTCAAAAGGTTTCTCACCTGTGTGAATTCTCGTGTGAGAAGTCAAACTACTTTTGTCAGTAAAATTCTTGCTACAGATGGTACAGGAAAAAGGCTTCTCACCTGTGTGAATTCTGATGTGTTTATCAAGATGATATTTCAGTTTGAACATTTTTCCACAGGACAGACATTCATAAATCTTCGGACCTGTGTGAGTGTGAACCATAAAATATTCTTTTTTTTGGCAGTCTTCTTCACGTGTCAAACAGGAGGAAGGTTTCTCTTCAATTTCCTGATTCAGAACAAGCTGCTCTTCATACTCACTTATGGGGAGCTCCATGGTTTCCTCTTTAGTCCAGGGATCTTCTGGTTCTTTCTGCTCTTCTTTTATCTGCAGAGCTTCTGGTTCCTCTTGATCCAAACTGGAATTCCTCTCCTGTCCACAGAGCTGCTGGTCAGAGAAATCCTCCTCTTTTCCAACATAATCCTGCAGGCGGTCTGAAAGACAAACACAGCAGAAAGACTTTATATTGTAGGCTTAAGAAATTGATTATTGATGATTATTTAATCATCCGTTTGTTGACATAACTTCATATAAATAGACTGGAACTACATCTCCCAGCATGCACTGCAGCTCTGGCACCACAATCCCAAGTTATAAAATAATGGTTAATGTTCTGCCATCCAGAAAGGGTAGGATCTCCACTTTTATCATCAAAGGTTTAAAAAAATTGGATTACCTGCAGATTCATAACAATTAAAGACATTTTAAAAACTAATTTTTAGATTTTTTTTTGTTTTTGCTGAACTGTCCAAGTTTTACTGCACCTTTTGCCCAGAGACTGCTGGAGAAAGGCAACAGCTCCACCACAACTCTAGAGATGAGCCCCAAATGAGGGGATTGCACACACATTTACCACAGAGGGCCAAAAGAAAAGGGAGGTGCTCTCCAGAAAGCCAGAGCTCCATCTCATTCTGGTCTGATCCAGCTCTTTATCCAGCATTCTGTCTGCGCTGACCTCAGTGCAGAGCTAGAGTGTAAACCCTCTCTGAGTCAAACTCCTTAGAGCCAATAGTGTAGAGAACGATTTAAAATGATGGTAAAAGGACAGAAAGCAGCTCTTCTTAAGACACAATATGGGTAATGCAAAACACCTTAAGAAAAACAGGGTAAAGGGGACATTTTTCTATCACATTATTCTGCAGAAAAAGTGTTGATTTCAATCAAAAAACACAAGTTCAATCTTCTCCCTTCCCAGTTTATTTCTACTTCACTCTGAAGCCTGGAGTAAAAACTGATACAAACTACATTCCTGGGAAAAACTTTGTTGTTCTCATAAAAAAAGATTAATTCAGCTCAAGCTCCTCCTATTTCTGGACTCATTATGTGGTAGAGCAACTGTGCATCACTGTGATAAACCTGAAGTCTAAAGCATTTAGATATCATACAGGATGACAATAGAATAATGATAAAGCCATTTCCAATAAAGCTAATTGTTCCATTTTGAACAAAGGGAAAGGTTTCTGCTTCAGAACAAGCTGCTCTTCCTGCTCACTTATGGGGAGCTCCATGGTTTCCTCTTTAGTCCAGGGATCTTCTGGTTCTTTCTGCTCTTCTTTTATCTGCAGAGCTTCTGGTTCCTCTTGATCCAAACTGGAATTCCTCTCCTGTCCACAGAGCTGCTGGTCAGAGAAATCCTCCTCTTTTCCAATATAATCCTGCAGGCGGTCTGAAAGACAAACACAGCAGAAAGACTTTCTATTGGTGCTTAAATAAAGGACACTTCACATAAAAGCACCAAACTCTGTCCTTGATTTTGAGGAGCGAGTGGATCCTGCCAAGAAACCTGAAGATATGAAGTTCATTCTGGCCTAAATTTGTTTCCCCACAAAGAATTATTAAAGAAAGCAAAGAATTCACATCCAACACCACAGTGACTGTCTGGCAAATGAGGAAGTAATGAGACACCCTAGCCTCAGCAGCGCTTCCTGTACACCTCTGCCTGGAAGAGACAGACCCCAGCTCAATGTGTCAGAGGCTGAGCTGATTTTAAATAGTTTTCTAATGAAATTTCTATGTTGTATCATTTTAAAAAGAAGCATTATGGTTAGAAAGAGAAAAACAGACCTAAATGATAAAGCCTTCTGGAGCAGCTTCCTCATTTTTGCTTAAAATGTAGATACCAGCAGGGCGACAGGGCTGTTTTTTTTCTGTAAAAAATGTTTGAATCAGAAAATCATGTGAGTTTATTTATAAAAAAAAAAAAAAGATCACATTCCCAGAAAAATTCAGTTGTTGATGTTGTTGTCTAGACTGTACAGGAGGCAGTATGTCCTAAAAGGCCTGGACAATGAGGGGAAATGATGGAAATACAGCATCCCATTCTGGAGACGTTAAGAGGAAAGTTTTTGCTCATCTGGGAACTTCTGTCTGGGTTCCTCATCACAGAGGAGCAAAGTAACTCAGCCGTATCACTCCAGAGGAGGATAGTTGCTTTCACTGCTGCAGAAAAAAACATTTGACCAAACCAAATTAAAGGTACACTATGCAACCGGTGTTGATTTTCCAGTGAGGCTCCCTCCAGAGGGCGAAAGTAAAAGTGCACTGTCGTAAATATGCTCAGCTGTTCTCCTGGTTTCTCCGTCAAGCCAGGCGCGGTTGTTTTGAGCTTAGCAGCGAATGACTGCATTCACACTGGACGTAGCTGGCGCGGCAGAAGCAGCGAGTTTACATGCAAAGTCAATGGTTGACGCGCGTCAAGGCGCAGCAAAAGGTCCCGCGGCGCGTTTTGAGCAAGCAGGCGCAGCACGTCTGAGCAGCTGAAGCAACGCGTCGGGTGCGTTTAACGCAGGGAGAGAGACACAGCGCTGATGATCACACCTCTTAAACAGTTTATTGACGGGTCTGAGCGGCTCCGACAGAAAAAATATTGAAGGCAGGATAATAATCTGAATGAACTGACGGCACTGATTACGTTTTCAGGTGTATTTTCTCACTTAAAAACATATTAAAACTACTTTATTCCCACTGATCACAGCAAATATAGCTGCAAGGCAGAGAAAGGATAGTGAAGCTCCGCCCAATGCGCCTCAGACACACTTTTGCACCGGGCAGCCAGAGCAGCAAAGCTGCTTCAGCTGCGCGTCAGAACTAACTGGTACAAGCAGCAAAAATGAAGCAGCAGACGCGATTTTGCTGCTTTTGCTGCGTGAACGTAGCATAACTGCACAAAGATTGCCACTGTGCTAGCAACGAGAATGCTTTTAACTGGGGCGTGTAGCAGTTCTCGCCGTAAAGCAAGACTGACTCTCACGAGACTTCTGAGCCTGTGGGTGCGGGTCGGTGCTCCTGCAATTGCAAGTGCAGTATTTCCCCCACAGACCACCAGGGCGGCCGAGAATACCTTTGTTCAACCTGAAATGACTCGTTTAATCATCCAAAACGTTATGGAACACATTAATTAACTGAAAAATGTTGCATAGTGTGCCTTTAAAATGCTCTGAAGAAATTAAGAAAGAGAAATTTGACAAGACCAATTGAAGAAACTCTAATAGACAGCATAAAGGAGGCGTCAGATGGTTGAACCATATAAATATAGATTTTTTTATTTGATATTTTGCTTGAGTCTTGCTGCTATCTTTCCTCAATCAGAGAGTTTACAAATAAAGGATAATTACACGTTAGCATACGTCTGGAAAGAACATCTGAGTCATCAATTTCCTGATGTATCCTGTAGAGAGGAACAACAATGCGTGTGCATTTTATAAAATTAAATAGGAGGTTATTATGATTAGGGCTGGGCGATATGATGTGAAAATAAAAGCTCTTTTTTTTTTTTTTTTATTGAATTTGATATTTTGGGGGGATTTCTCCCCTACCTCTTAACATCCACCCGATCGCCTGCGCTCCGCAGCCATGCGCTTAAAAATAATACCAGTTAAACTGTTACCAATATAGACGTGTTAAACTTTCTTAGAAAGCTTAGATTCTCCACAGTTCAACCACCAAGTTCATTTTATGGTCACCATGAGCACCGAACCGAGACAGCCGAACCGAACGATTCTGACGGTTTTTATAAATCGTCCCATCCCTAATATATATATATATATATATATATATATATATATATACACACACACTGTACAGTACAGTATTTTATGTATTTTTTATATCATATCTTATGTGAATGTTCTGTTTATACTGTTTTGTGTTTTACTTATTTTTTTTTCTTTACAGCACTTTGGTTATCTGTGGTTGTTTTTAAAAGCTTAAATAAAATTAGATTGTTTTTTGTTTTTTTGGTTTTTTTAACTCTGTTACTTATTCTTATTTTTATGCACTTTTTAAGGTCCACATTTGTGTGACCAATTTTTCCTGGAATCTGTTGCTGCTGTAACACAACAATTTACCCACTATGGGACAACTAAGGGGAGTTTCTATTCTATGTAGTGTATATCTGCTTTTTATTTAGTAATGTCTTCCAAAGCTCTGATGCCTTCATGAAGTTCTCCCTCCAGCCCTGATGTCAACAGTCTGTTGATTTAAACAAAAATACGCTGCAGTGCTGAAATTAGATTGTTTTTTTGTTTTTTTTAACTCTGTTACTTATTCTTATTTTTATGCACTTTTTAAGGTCCACATTTGTGTGACCAATTTTTCCAGGAATCTGTTGCTGCTGTAACACAACAATTTACCCACTATGGGACAACTAAGGGGAGTTTCTATTCTATGTAGTGTATATCTGCTTTTTATTTAGTAATGTCTTCCAAAGCTCTGATGCCTTCATGAAGTTCTCCCTCCAGCCCTGATGTCAACAGTCTGTTGATTTAAACAAAAATACGCTGCAGTGCTGAAGCATCCTTCTTCTGTTTTGCTAAAAACAGCAGCCTAGGGTAGCAGGTCGACCTCCCCAAGATGGCGCCCGTAATGTCTGCGCCGCGTCATTCAATGCGGGGCCTACTATTATATATATATGACTTGTTAGAGACGGCTTTCTCGAAGCGAAGAAGAGGTTTAACCAGAGCAAATTACTAACTTGACCGCAGTCAGTAAAAGCCAATGCAGTAAGTGAGCGAGCTGACCGTAGTAAGATGGCCGCCGCGGAAACCAGCTTTAGCTTAGCATCTTGATCTCCTCTAAGCAGTTTTCCAATCAGATGAGGCTAAAATCCACAGGGTGCATCATCAGGGAATCGTTTCTATCAGGTGTTTCCTACCTATCCGGTGTGAGATGATCTGGGGGATCCTGGTGAAATCCAGCAGTAGATGTTGATCGTCCATCTTTTCCTCCGAATTGACCAAACTCCCTTTAAACTCCGTGAATGTTTCTTCAGCAGGAGTTAACTGCTCGGTGATAAACTCTCCTTGAAGCTGGACTGAAGACATTCTCACTGCAAACACTCCCAGATTATCAGCCTCTCTACAATGACTCCACACACAAGCTAAGCTAATGCTGCTAGCCGATCCCGACCAGCGGCTCATCTGCGCATGCGCAGCTGGATCCACTTCGATTTTACTTTGTAAAATGATTTAACTTTGCTGCATAAACAAGGATTATATTTCAGATCCTAGTTTGGTTCAGCATTTTATAGAAAATAAACTTTATGGATATGTTTTAGTTTATATGGATGCTTCAAAAGATTTAATGACAGTTTAGTTTATAGTTCCAGAATTAAATGTTAAATCAGGTAAAATAATAAGTGATGGAGTTTTAGTGCACAGAGGAGAAATATTTGTGATTATACTGCAGTTAGAATGAATTAAAGAAATCCATCTACTCAGAAGTTTAATTATCCCTGATTCTAGTTCATCGTTATATTCATTCAGATACCATCATTCAGACAGCAGACCTGATATCTAATTAAAAATTCAGCAATTATTATTTAGAATTCAAGCAATGGGATTAATAGTTTCTTTCATATGGATTCTTTCTCATTTAGGAATAAAAGGGAATTAGACGGCTGATAAATATGCAAAACAAGCAACTAAAAGCAGTCAGGTTTTTACCTCCAGTGCTTTTAAAATATTGCCTTCCACCCTGCCGTCATTATCCCTAATGAGCTTTCTATGACAGCCAGAGTGATGGCAGATAAATCGAGCTTTAACTGGATTCGTCAGGCATGGATAACCACAATCGCCAAGGATCACATACTGGTTTGGTGGGTAGAGGGAGTGGGTGTAAACAAGACTATTTTTTAGAATTCTAGATTAATGAACTGAACCTGGATAACCAAAAAAATATCAAGAAACTTAGTGGTGGGATCATATATGTCTTGCATTTGAATTCAATGGAATAATTTGTCGTTAAAATAACATTCTGCGTTTTCTTTAGGCGGTTTGATCCGGATGCGGAAAGTTGCTGGAAGCCAGCTGGTTTCCATGTGAGAAGCGAATCGCACTGTTTTTCAGGCCTAGAATATCCTCTGCCACCCTGGGGATGATGCCACAGATGGTTGAATATCAAAGGCTCTGGCAACAACATGATAGGACGCACAACTTGCAACACCTAGAAGGCTAGAACTTCTAGGTGTTGCCTCCATCCGTGGTGATGGGGCATCCAGAGCTGTTAGTCTCTCCATGGTCAGGAGGAAATCAGGGTGAAGGTTTGAGTGGCCATCAAAGTACAGCTCACTGGAAAAAAAATCAAAATCTAGATGAGTCATTTTTTCTTAAAATAAGTGCATTTGTTCTTGGATTAAAGAGGGAAAAGAGACATTTTGCAAACGGAACAAGACAATTTCCACTTAAAATAAAAAGCTATCTCAATTACATACTCAGATTAAAGGTAAATACACTTAATTTAAGACATTTTTACTTATTTCTAGATTGTTTTTCCAGTGCTTCAGGAGGGGGACGTCTGTATTAAGGAGGAAATAAAGATATGGTTCACCCTAAAAAAGGGTTTTAAGCCTGTTAATAAACACATATTGTGTTTATATTTATTGTTTATTATATGTTCAATACATTATTTAACCCATTTTTGTTAAATTGTGTTATTGTATTAATTTAGAGTTTAAG